GCTTTGCATTCACAGAACATGCAGTTCCCCTGAATCAACCTCAAGAGCACAGTGGTAATAAAAGATCATTGAGATCACAATGATAACAAATAATATAACAAATAATGTACGCAGTATTCATTTACCCTCAGCAGATGCAGTTTACTGTACCGTTCAAAGGTTTGGGGTGTACAATTTTTTTATGTTTTGGAATTAAGTCTCATGCTCACCAAGGCTGCATTTATTTGACCAAAACATCAGTAAATACAGTGAAATATTATACTCTCGGAAAAAAGGTACGAAGCTGTCATGGCAAAAGCTAAAAGGTACATCTTTGTACCTTATTTACGACTAAATAATGGACGGCACTTAACATGTTATTACCTACAGTGTGTGTGTATGTGTGTATATATATATATATATATATATATATTTATTTATTCACTTAACTGTCACTTTTGATCAAATTAATGCAGCCTTGAAAAAAATCTTATTGACCCCATACCTTTAAAGGGTTCATAGGATGCCCATTTTCCACAAGTTGATATGATTCTTTAGGGTCTTAATGAAAAGTCTGTAACATAGTTTGGTTAAAACTTCTCAATGGTAGTGTCAAAAACACCTTTTCTTTTACCGTCAAAAACAGCTCTTTTCAGAGCATGCAGATTTGTAGCATTTTCCTTTAAATGTTAATGAGCTCTGCTGACCCCGCCTCTCTCTTCCGAGCTACTCTCAGAGAGCCTGTTTACATTAGCTGCATTCATCGTGAAACTTGCTAATTAGCACATTATTAGGAAAGGCGATTTGCAAAGATTCGTTAAAAAAACCTTACACTCACTTCTTCTGTAGGTGAAGCTGGATCACGAATGATTTGCGCGAACATAGACGCATTTATGTAGATCGGGGGCACATTCCCTTCAAAAAAGAACAAAATCCACTGCGTCTTCAGCGGCTCAGATGTCGGGAGTAAATGACGACTGCTATGTTCATTATTACATCCAACAACAGGATACCTCAATCGCTTTGGAGTCATTCTTGTCTACATCTGCTCCAGCGGTGAAACAGTTCAAACAACTTGTAAAAGTGCATGTAGCATTATATGACCCCTTTAAAGGGTATTTTACCTAAATGGTATGTTTGCACCAAGTACAAATAGCAACAAATAGCATCTTGTTTACAGTGCAAATAGTGATAGATGCTACTTTAAAAAAGTGTTTAAAAAATCAATGTTATTTGCACTATGGATAAATTGCCTGAGAAACAGTGGGTTAGGTTCATGAAATAGCCACTGTTAACAAAGTTGGCTGTTTGCACAAAAGGTACATACAGCTACTATTGTCACCGACATGTCAGGCAGAGTGGAATTCTTAAAGTTTATCCACAAGAAAAATGGCCTACAAGATTTCAGATTTGTTCAAATAGGACTTGAATTACATATGTAGTGCATTTGGAAAAGATGAAGAAAATGCTTCACAGTGAATTAGTGCATTTATACAGTATGTACATGAAAAAAGTCATTAAATGTAAAATGAAAAAAAGACAATACCCTACAAAACAGAGGTGAAGGTCGCGTATTAAGTAATACATTTCTTCAAATGAAACAAATGGACCTCCATGTGTGCTAATAAGTGATGTTGTTTTCTTCAAACATTCAGTCAAATGTATGTCAATGAGGTAACTCTCCTATTAGCTGCAGTATTAACACACAATACCTCATTTATACAAACATACATCACACGAGCTAGTGCTGAATACCAGCCCTCAATCACTGTAATTTACTCAGTCCGCTTGCTTCTCATTTGACATTAACATTCATCTGGAACAGACTGTGGGTTACATTTACTTTTGTCTGAGCATTACCAAACTTTGGTGTTGGTGTTCACTCATTTATACCGACTGTATAGTTTTTAAAGAAAATGTCAAGTAGGAAGAGACTCTTGAGAGGTGTTTGTCCCTGTTAAATTTAATATTTCTTTACAGTAGCATTTCATTCTTCATTCAAGACACTCTTCAAAGTAAAAATGAATTGAAAGTCCATATTCCACTGGTTTAGAGGACGATAGAAGGGAAGAAGTAAAAGAATGAGGGATACATAAAACAAAAGAATAAAAACAAGACAAAACCTGGCAGAGGTCATGAGGTTAAAGCTGGACTTATTCATTCAGTACTCACCTATTCAAAACACTCTCGCATGCCTGCCTTTTTTGTACAAATTAGAATGATAAAAAGAGAAGTACACTTTATTTATACATATACATAAACAGCATAATCTGTGGGTGAATATTATGTGATCTCTTTGATAAAAGCTCTTATGGCTCTGTTAAAGAAACAGACTAAAGAACATGTGCCTGGCACTGGAAGCAGCGGATTCTTCTTTTTCGTATTGCATTTCGATGAAAAGTGCAGTAGTCATGCAAAATGCATAGCTTCTAAAGATGTGTTCTACCTTATTTGCTCTTTTGTTTTAATAGCTCATTTTACATCTGGAAAGATGATGGAAGTGCTCTAAACTCTTGGTAAGACCGCCATCAAAACAGCTAAGAAGCAGCAGCAGCAGCAATAATGGTGTCCTACAGCAAACACATGAATGAATGTATAAAAACCATGACTTTATACATGGGAGTCTTTCATCCACTGCCCGTCTGTGATGTGTGAAAGCCTCTTGACCTCGATAATCAGACTTGTGCTGAACTGCTCAGTGTTTCATGCCGAGAAAGCTTTCATATGTGACCTCGTGTAAAAAATATCAGCTGCTTTATGATTATTTCTGTCCAAAATCTACCTGTAACAAACCACCATAACACATTAAGGTTGCTGTTCCTCTAATATTCTAAAGATGCTATTTTAGTATTTCTGTTATTGTTGATCCTTTTTCTGATCAATATGTAGATTATAGGCTCCACAATTACAAGTGAACACATTCAGCCCACAGAAGCTCCACACCATAAAAAGTGCAGACTGTTTAAAACAGTGTTTCCCAAACAGTTTTTTTTTCTTATGTAGCCAATAGACCCATCAAATAAGGAAAAATTACCCCATCATCACTTATAAATTAATTCAAAGAAAAACCTGAATTATGGATGAAAAACACCACAAAAATATAAAACTTGCACACATTACAAGTTTTTTTTTCTCCTTAAAAATTAACTGAAAAAAGATATTCCAATAAGTTTATATATATATATTTGACATCCTTGTTGGGAATCACTGGTCTAAAATGCTTCATCATCAATCACGTGATATGAATACGATGTAGACTGAACAGAAGTATGACATCATTATACTCTATTATAAGAAACTATATCGCTTTGCTTTGGCCCACAGGAAGAACTCTCTTGAAAAGACAAGCTTCAACTCCAAACACTGATCTGTGGCATCATTATAATCAGACACACTCTCAAACACAACACAGTTTTTTTACCTGCCCTCATTCATGTACTGTTAGGTTTGTATAAACTGAAACGTTATTTCAGAGTCAAAAAGTCTAGCGAACGGCTTGAAAAGGCTGGTGTGTGTTGCTGGAGCAGCAGTGAGAAGAACATGTAGCTCTCTATGCCATGCCGTTACCAACCCTGAGACATACAGTACAACACAACTGGGCTTTAGTCAAGAAACATTTCTATGTAAATCTTTCATGGAGCTAAAATTCCTTCTGCTTGTTTCATGAGGCCTACTGTGTGGTAGGTAAAAAATATCCCAATCTTTATGAATCTTATACCACATAATGCTGTTCACAAGCAAGATGTAACATGGCTACTATCACAAAAACACCTTTCTGCAGTTTTTGATATGCCACAGAAATAATATTTCCCCAGAGACATTATTGTTCAGCACATTAATGTCATTGTGCTCTAAAGAAGCTGAAGCCATTCAATGCCATTGACTCTTCATCTCTTATACGCGCTGCAACCAATTTTAGACAGTAGTAAAACACACATATGTGAACCTGGACCACAAAACCAGTCATAAGGGTCAATAACATCATCAGAAAGCTGAATAAATAAGCTTTCCATTGATGTATGTTTTGTTAGGACAGGATATTATTTGGCCGAGATATAACTATTGGAATATCAGGAATGATAAAATATTGAGAAAATCGCCTTTAAAGTTGTACAAATAAAGTTCTTAGCAATGCATATTACTAATCAAAAATGACGTTTGAATATATTTACGGTAGGGAATTTACAAAATATCTTCCTGGAACATGATCTTTATTTAATGTCCTAATGATTTTTGACATAAAAAAAATATATATAATTTTGACCCAAACAATGTATTTTTGGCTATTGCTTCAAATATACCCCATCGACTTGAGACTGGTTTTGTGCTCCAGGGTCACATGTAAATACTTATATACCATTAGCTATGTCTGAGCTAATTCCTCCATACGTTAATGAAGTTTCAGTGATGTTAAAACAGATCACATTTTCCAAGCACTGTACTCTGAAGGTTGTTGTTTTGCATTTTGTGTGGATTCTCTCATGAACACAACAACATGGCTATCGAACACACTACTTCTGCCAGTACACACAATAATGAGCCAAAACTTTCACTTAGTATATACAGGGTTCCCACACCCTTACACCAATTCATTTTCAATTTTTTCCAGTAATTTATGATTTTTTTTAAATACAGATTTGTATTACAGTATGCTGTTTATTTTATGGGCATAACTAAAAAAGATTTATTCTGACTACAGGAATTTCTTCTTTTCAAGATTTTTTAATCAATTTTAATTTTTCTGGTTTCCCAGCCAATTGTGATAAAAAAAAGATAGATTTTTAAAACGTTTTTATTGAGATTGCATTCACAAAAAGTGAATTTGTAACCAATAAAATATTTTTGAGATGGGCATAACTACAAAGATTTATATTACAGACTACAGAAATGAACGTGAATTAAGATTTTATTAATTTTCACGACTTTTCCAGTTGTTTATGATATTTAAAAATAATAATGATTTTGTAAAAACAATTTCCACACAAAAATCTAATTTCTAACCAATAAAATATAATTGTGATGGTCATGACTATATAAATATATATTTACAACACGCATTTCCAAGACTTTTCCATGATTGTAATCATTTCCAATACTGTTTTCTAGGCCTGGAAATCACAGTTCTTAAATACCCTGATATTTCCTGATATCTCTATGACCGTGGGAACCCTGGATCGATCTTTCAAAGTTTCTTGTAATGTTGCTGAGGCACTTCAGTCGGCCTGCACTGCTAGTGCTCATTGATCAGATGGTAAATTGTCTCTAGCCTGCTTATTTTGAACCCTGCCAAAAGCACCAAATATCAGATTACACTGTACAAATAATGGGACAGAAAAATAAATATAGTTACATTACCATAAAGGCAAAAGATACATTAAAAAAATCACATTTGCAACTCATTCCTCAGTCTTCACCATTTACCTCCCTCATAATCACCAGCACTCCTCTCTTTTCCTCCAGACATTTCTCAGTCTGTGTTATTCATTGGGACTTTCCTCCTGTATTTCCGGCAGGTTCTTTCTATCCTTGCGCAGAGTATCAGTGAGGGGCCGAGCGGAGCTGGGGGACTCCAGCTGCTTCGGTTCATTAGTGTGGTAACTGCCTTTATACCTGTACAGGTAAATGTAGAGGCCGTACAGGATCAGGAAGAGCAGCATCAGAGACACTGTCACGATTACTGTGGAGAAAATGACACAAAGAGAGAGAGAGAGCAGTTGTTAGCATTAAGCTTAATACTCTTACTGTGCTCTAGTTGAGCCGTCTACAAATTATGGCTTAAACATAATTTGTATCATGTTGCAGAATTGACAGAAGAGACTGCTGACTGTCAGCTCAAATGTACTCATAAGTTTTAAAGGGATAGTTCACCCAAAAATGAACATTTTCGGCATAATTTAATTACTCTTGTGGTGTTCCAAACCTGTATACTGTCATGTTTTTTCTGTGAAACACAAATAGAGAATTTCCATGCAACCAAACTGATATGGATTATTTTTATGATTACCAAAGTTCACTTTGAGGTGGTCACTATTGTTATTATGGAAAAGAGCAGCATAAAGATTATTTGTGTTCCACAAAATAACAGTATACAGGCTTGGAACAACATGAGAGTCAGCAAATGATGACAGAATGGTCATTTTTGGGAGAATTGTTGGTAAAGTGGATTAAGTGTGTGTGTGAGTGTGTGTGTGTGGGGGGGTGTGTAGGAGAAACAAGTCTTGTTTATCCTGGAAAATAAATGACAATCAGACAGTTAGAAAAAAAAGAGGATTTGAGTGAAGCAATGATGGATAATTGCATATGACGAGCAAGGATTCTGATAAATCTCTTTAGGAAAATGTAAGTGTTCAGTTTGAAAAATGGTCTTATTGTATTGTTTTGATGAGTCTTTAATTTTTAAATGATCTCATTAGTATTATAATAGAATAAAATAATAATAATAATAATAATTTAACATTAATGTAACAGTGACATATTTTGAAATATGGTCATTTGTAAATATCTGACGCTTATTACACCTTGATTTATTCCACATACAGTATATTATCCTTATATGACGTTTTATCACTGATCATACCAAATTTCTGTCACGTGCAAAAGACCGTCTTTATGCAGACGCTTATATTCCCATGAATGTTCCCTAATCCTGTGTTCGGCAAATTAAGAGGATTTTAAAAACAGGTTTTAGCAGCATCACAAACAGAGAAGATCAGCATGATTTGCAGGTCTGGCTGAAATGCTGAATAGGAATAAAAGACAAGGAAAAGCAAGAAGAACAGAATACATTAGTATAAATATATTTGAAAAAATTTGGGGGGGGATTTTTGTCACTTTTATTAGGAGGATGGTGGAAATCTGACAGGAATTAAAAAACAGTGCTATATATGCTTTAAAACAAGATAATAAAATGAGTGTGACTGTAAACTTACGCGTCATCCAAGGTGGGGTAACATCATCATGAATGTAATAAAAGACTAAAAAGAAAAAAAAAATTGAGGGTTAAAAACAACTTTTAATCACAGTGTAAAGTACAATAATCATATACTATAAGAGTAAAAAAATACATTTGTTTAAAACAAATCCTTTTACAGTACATACACTAATAACTTGCTCACAAGTAAATACATTGGACCATATCTTTGTGACCATATCTTTACTTCACCCTGCACTTATTTACTTTCACTACCATTCAAATGTTTTGAGGTCAGATTTTAAATGTTTGTGAAAGAATTATTTTCACGCTGACCAGGCTGCATTTATCTGATCACAAAATTTACAGTAAAAAAAAAAAAAGCAACAGCAGCCATTACTCCATTCTTCAGTGTCACATGATTCTACAAAATCATTCTAATATGCTTGCTTGCTCCTCAAAAAAACGTGTTATTATCATAATTGAAAATTACGGTGGCCGAGAGAGCTCAACACGCTGCAACTTAAGAAAACACATGCAAATTTAAAAAACTCCAGCAAATTAAGAAAACATCTTCATCAGTTTGACAACAGACTCGCTGCAAATCCTCACAACACATGCAAATGAAGAAACACGCTGCAAATAGCACGGACCACAACGGAAATGTTTCAAGGGGACCCAAAAAAGTGACGGACCTGGCTGGGATTTGTTTTGTGCAGTGGCTTTTTTTTTTTTTTA